CATATAAAGTATATCTTCCATACCTCTGATTGTTTAGATGCGATTTTTTATATAAGTATGTAACTCCTCTATCGATGTATGCAGATGTATTCAAAAGCAGTAATCTGTCAAAGTAAAATTTGCAGATGTTCATGAAAGGTATGAAGCCTTCGGCATAGCCGAAGACAGCGCTGCTCTTACTTGTTTTATTTGGAAATCAATAAATATTTAGAGGTCGCTCAAAGCGCTCAAAGTTTCCATGTATTTTTATATGGGAAAAATAACTTTTTGCCTAAAAATGGTATAGAATTGTTGGAGGTCAATATTTATCGATCGGAAAACTCTAGTTCTCTTCAGGAGACTTTCAATAATAATACCCAACTTTGTATTTAATCATATTTTAATACTAACGATTTTGTATTGGTCGCCCCATTGCATTTTCAGGGTTTTTGGCGGCTCTTTAAATTATAGTTGCAATGAATAAATGGTTAAATATACAATTGGGTATTATACTGGGAATCTCCTGCAGATAAACAAAGTTTTCTGGTAGAAAAATATTGGTTTTTAACTATTATATACCATTTCTACGTAAAGTTGTTTTTCCCCATATAAAATACATGAAAAACTTTAGGCGCTTTGAGCGACATCTAAATATTTTTTGTTTTCAAAATTAAACAAGTAAGAAAGTCTAAGTTCGGGCGGAGCCGAACATTAAATACCCGGCGCAAGTATTAAATATATGTTTTCCACCTTTCCGAAAGCTACCGCTACATGATAAGCCGGGGTGTATACATTTTAAGTAAATTAGCGTCCTTAAATTTCGAAATATTGAAATTTCAAGCATATCTGAAATTTACCGTTATATGAAAAGCGGCCTCAATTTTAGTCCGATTTCAACAATTTTCAACGGTTTGCTTTTATGTGGCAAGCACAATAACCATACCGAGCTTGGTACAAATTGCTAGAACGGTTAGCGAGATACATATATGTGATCACAAGTGGGCGGTGCTACGCCCATTTTCCAAAATTTTGTCATAAACGTATTTCTTGGTAAAAAATTGTTGCAATCATCAATTTTGAATAAATTAGCTTCAATATTTACTGATTTATCGAAGATTTTGTATTTCTCGAAATTACCGTTATATGGGATGTGGGCGTGGTTATTGTCCGATTTTAGAAATTTTCGGCAATTTGGTGTGCTGTACCAGGACCAACAACTGCGCCAAGTTTGGAAGAAATTGGTGTAGCGGTTACCAAGATAT